AAAACAATTTGGCAAGTCCCTATCTAGCAGCCCTCTCTGCTCTGTGTCTCCGCGGCTGGTTGACCTGAAGCTCAACTTCTGCATGAGCAGTTGATGCAGCCTATTCTGGGTGCCGGAGCCTGACCCCACAGCTCCGTCCATGTCTGAGCCTCTCACCTTTGCCACAGAGCTGCTTTCTATGTGAAGCCCCTGCTGCACCACAGGGCTGGGAGCTCCTCAGCCTTGCCAGGCCTTTGCAAACTCGGCAGAGAAGAATGAGGGTGAGACATTTCTCGATTTTTATTAATTTCCCTCTTGCAGAGGGAGGGTTGGTTATTACAGCGGGTGGAACAGTCTCCAACAGGCATTTCCCTTCTCCCCTTGGAAAATGCCGTTCTCTCTCGGTCAAAACTTTCTGCAGGAACCCATTGCTTTCAATGATATTTCATGAGCGGGGGGTTGGTTCGGCCACTTTTTCGGTTTGTCATTTTGAGACGGCTTTTCCTTTCGACTTGTGTTTGGTTTCCTAGATGACAAAACAGAACGGAAGGTGATTTTGGTTTTAGACACCGAAAGGGGGAAACCTTTGCGGTTTTACCACAACAAAACTTGGCGAAAATTTTGTTGCGCGGGAAATTTAGAGATTCGACTTTTCACAATGAAAACCAATTTCAAAGGGTTGGACTCTCCCAAGACATAGATGTTCTAGTCCCCGTTCCCTGGTCCGTGCTAGAGGGGAGATCAGATTAGATGGTCACGACGGGTCTGGTCTGGGGCTTGGGTGACCTTGGGGTAGGACCGAGATAATACTGCGTTATCCCATGGCATTCTGAGAGGATTCATAGATCCCATGGCCAGAAGGGACCATTGTGACCCTCTAGTATGATTCCCAGGATGGCACAGTCTGGAGAACAACCCTGAATTCATTCCTGCCTGAACCAGAGGTGAGCTTTTAGAAAAACAGCCCATCCACTACACTCTCTTACAATACACTGGAGTGGGGTCAGAGAAGAGCCATGTGAATGGTGAAAGGATTTGAGAGCGAGAGACTCCAGGAGCTCAGTCTAGTTAACTGAACAAAGAGACGCTTTGGGGCGACTTGATCCGAGTCTGTAAGTATCTCCATGGGGAACAAATATTCAGTAAGGGGCTCTTCAACCTAGCAGAGGAAGGGCTAACACTGTCCAATGGCTGGAAGTTGAAGCTAGACAGAAGGTGCACATTTTTAACAGCGAGGGGAACTCACTATCGCAACCAGTTCCCAAGGTTTGGTGGTGGATTCTCCATCACTGACAATTTTTTAATCGAGATGGGCTCTTCTTCTAAATGATCAGGCCTGGGAATTATTTTGCGGGCCGTTTTCCGGTCCGTGCTGGAGGGGAAATCGGATTAGATGGTCACAACGGGTCTGGTCTGGCCTTGGAGTCTATGGACAGAGACCGAAAGAGCTTGGTAAAATGCAGGCTGGGAGAGGACGCGATTGCTCCCTATAAATACGCAAGGGGGGTGAACGGCAGGGAGGGAGAAGAGCTATTGGCCCATGGACAAATGGGGACAAACTGGCCAGGAATAAACAGAGGCTGGAAATGAGAAGGATGGAGAACCTCCACCAGAGGGAGGTTCTGGGACAGGAGAAGTGGGGGGCAAACAACCAAACTGGTTTGAAGATGGAGTGTTATAAATTCACCAAACAGGACACTAGGACCGTTGGCTATCGCAGGGGCTGGACTCACCCCAGGAGCTCCTGTCCTACATGAGCCGTACTTCCGAGCCTCCTGCTGTCTGGGGTTTCTCTCAAAGGCCCAGCCACCAGGGTCGGGCAGTCACGGGAGACACTTGGCTTTCGATTAAATAAAAGAGTGGGCTTCGGACCCTCCTAGCTGAGGAGCGAAGTTGGGAATCGTGGCCTGAGCACAAACCTTGGAGGCAAAGAAACGACTCGCCGGTGGTTACTTTGATAAAACCAATCTCCTGGGCTGAAAGCCGACCAGAGGATTGTTCTGAGGTCTGGCTCATGAGTTTTGCCTGCCCGGCGCGGGTGAGACCGCGGAGATGCAATAAAAGGTGCGTTCATAACCTGGGTTACATAGAAACGCAGCCAGGACACTCGGCTAAACAGGGTGCTTGGTCCTGCGTGATGCTTGGTCCTGCTACGAGTGCAGGGGACTGGACTTGATGACCTCTCGAGGTCCCTTCCAGTCCTACGATTCTATATGTGTGCATTGTCACTGCAAAAAACTCATGCTCCTAGTACGTTAGCCCCAGGGACCATACGCTTGAACTCTGGTCATGCCTGCCCTGTCTTCACTAGCATTGCAACCCATGCTAGCCGGATTTGGCTAGCCCACACAGGCCAACCCAATCTAGGAACACACCTTTCCCCCCACCCCTCCAGTGTAGATGTATCCTAGGGTGACTGGAGTTCGATCAGAGCTACTAACCTGCGTTAGCTAACCCGAGTAAAGTTTGTGGGGCACAAACTCATCGAGCTCCGGTTCGGTTTCTTGCCTTCACCTCCTCCTCTTGCGAGGCTGCTCCAGAACCTGCCTGCTGACGGGGCGAAATTTGCTTCTGGTTTCCAGCCTCACGTGGCTCCTGGCCAGCGTATCCCCATTTGTCCTTGGGCCACCTCGTCCTTCACAGATTCATAGATCCCAAGGCCAGAAGGGACCAATGTGATCATCTAGCCTGACCCCCTGTATAATCCAGGCCAGGGAACTGCCCCCAAAGAATTCCTAGCGCAGACCTTTCAGGGAAACATCCAGTTTGAAAATTGCTAGTGATGGAGAATCCACCACACCCTTGGCGAGTTGTTCCGATGGTTAATTACTCTCCCTATTCCAAATGGATGTCTTGTTTCAAGTCTGAATTTGTCTAGCTTCAACTTCCAGCCATTGGACGGGGTTAGACCATTGTCTGCTAGATTGAAGAGCCTGTTATGAAATATTTGTTCCCCGTGTAGACACTTATAGACTGGGATCAAGTCCCCCTTGGACCTTCTCTTTGAGTTCCTGGAGTTTATCACTCTCAGGCAGGTTTTCTAATCCGTGAATCATTCTCCTGGCTCTTCTCTGATCCCTCTCTGATTGATCAGCATCTTTCTTGAATGGTGGGCACCAGAACTGGACACCGGATCCCAGCAGTGGTCACCCCAGGGCCAGATCCAGGGGTAAAATAACCTCTCCGCGCCTACTTGAGATTGCTCTTTGCATACCCCAGGATTGCATTGGCTCCTCTGGCCCTACTGGGAGCTTGTGTTCAGCTGACTAGGTGCCATGACCCCCCAAATCTTTGTCAGCGTCCCTGCTCCCCAGGAGAGAGCCCCCCCCCATGCGTACAATACAGTTTCTTTGTTCCTGGACGTCTGCATTGATGTTTAGACGTATGAAAAATTCTGCTTCAGTAGCTTGTCCCCCTCTCGGTGTTCACCTCACGGATAGATTGCTAGAACAATCGGTGCCCCTCTCAGCCTGCCTTCCAGCCGAAACAGGCCCCGTTCTGCCAGTTCCTTCTTGGGAGATCAGGGCGCAGTCCCCTGCTCATCCCAGCTCCTGTCCGGTTGGAATCCTCCTTCTCCAACGCGGGGGAGTTGGACACAGTATTACAGACGAGGCCTTACTGGTGTCTTGTCCAAGCATTAAAAAGCAACAGAGGGTCCTGTGGCACCTTTAAGACTAACAGAAGTATTGGGAGCATAAGCTTTCGTGGGTAAGAAGCTCACTTCTTCAGATGCATCTGAAGAAATGAGGTTCTTACCCACGAAAGCTTATGCTC